AACCCCGGCGGCACCTCCCCGGAGAGGCACTCTCCTCCCCCGAAAATCAACGTTGCGCATTTCCCTTCGCCTGCCGCTGCTTAGTTGAGAAATAAGAGTTCGGAGGAGACGAGCAGCAGGACGCTCCGGCGGTTCTGGGGAAGAACTGGCTGTGGTACTGACTTTTTTTGAGCTTCAAATGCTGGAAGTTTGACATGGAAGGGAACGTGGTCTGAATTCTTCGCTATCTCCTCAAAGCTGCTTTTCCCTGCCCGTTTTCGGCTGCTCCGTAGGTACCCGTTCGTGTGTTTTCTTCTACCGACAGACTCTAAGCTGAGAACGTTGTTTGTGCTGATTAACAAGATCTCCTTTATTTCCCTTCCCTTCTGCTGACATGCTATTTTTGTTATCTTTTATCACAGAAGCGTTTTATTAAGGGGCTAAGGCAGTACGGCAAGAACTTCTTCAGGATCCGAAAGGAGTTGCTTCCCAATAAGGAGACCGTAAGTACATTTGGACTTTATGTAATTTGCTTTTCCTCTTTCTGCCTCAGTGCTTGATCTTACGAAACTATTTCCTTTTCCCCCTGAGCTGAATTTCTCTTCAGATAAACGGAAGAACAATCCCCAGCCAGAGAAGGGAGCTGTAATTTTTAGTGCAGTTTTTAGGTCTGAAAGACGTTACATAAAGCAGTCGTCATTGCTGGACGGAGGCACCGAGGTTGGGTGAAGTGTATTTATGGAGACCAAAATCTAATTTTACATTCTGACATTATGATGGGATAATACATTTATGTCACCCATTCGGGCTCCAATGGCACTGGGTAATTAAAGAAAGCCTGAAACAAAACAAGATCTAATTGAAGCTGGAAGGCGGAGGTATGTGCTGCTCCTGTGACCTGCAGAATTGGGTGCTCGTGTTTAACTCTTCGTGTCCCTGCAGCGTGTAACTTCAGGTTCCGGATTCATCCGTGGTTTATTACTCCACTGAACTTCATAAAGCTTTAGCAACTGTCATTCTGCTGGAAATCCTGGCAAGTGCTTAGGAGGAAGATGGACAGGGAGGAGTGGTTGACTCCTTCAAAGGAAAAGAGGGTTTAGGAAGCCTTGGGAATCTGGTTTCTTTTCCATTAGTCCTAATTGCCAAGCTTCTCTAGAAGCTTCGGTTTCTGTTCTGCAGGTGTCATTTCACTGCTGGGAGGGTGCTTTTGGAAAGTGGTTTTCATGTTTCTTCTGCATTTAGAACGAAGGTTGGCCTGGACTGTTTTCTAGCGATGTGTGAGTGCTCTGGAACATACTTATTTAAAGCATAACCGGTTGTTTAGCCTTTGTGTGTGTGTAATTCGGCTGTTCAGCGGGGAAGAGAATTACTCTAAGAGTATTTTAAAACCTGCTACTTGCTGTAGGACGTTTCCATTCTCTTCTGAGGTGTTCCTGTGAGACAGAATCTTTGACGGTAAATAGTAACACCACCCATGTCAAATAGAAAGGGGAGGATGAAGCGGTTCCTGAAGTGCCTCAGTTGGTGTACATGTTCACTGATTCTATTGGGAAAGATCGGAAAACTTAATTACCTATCAACTGTATCTGTACCAAGTATTCTGTTGGATTTTGAGGCATGAAGGCCCAGTGTTGAAAAGATGACAGCTTAGAAGGAACGCTGAAATAGTTGCTTCTTAGCAACATCTGACAAGCCAGCACGTAGTCGGCTTTTAAACAGTCTTTTCCTCTTTTCTTTAGAGTAACTCCTCAGAGTGTATTTAGATCAAATTGGTGTTTACTTTAGAAATGAATTGTGCTGATGGTAAAGTTACAGAGGCGCAAAAGTACTTGTCTAAAGTTTGATTTACAGCAACTATGAAATACGCTTTTAAACACAAAATACCTCTTTGGCAGAGAAAAACCAGTTTGCAGGGGAAAGGAAAGCTAAAGAACTGAGAACAGGGGGCAGGTATCTGACCCTGCTCATACTGTTTGACTTTACATTTGAACTTGGACATGAGGCCTAAGGCTTTTTGTACGAGCCTTGCAACTTTGCAAGTGGTGTGTAACTTTATACCCGCTCTTCTTTCTCAAGTGTTATCTTTTTGTTTCATTAGCTTTAAATACTCAGTATAGAGCAGACTCAATACTGCGTTTGAGCAAGTGGGCAGCGGTGTGGCAGTGGGTTCGAAGAGGCGTTTTTAGCCCCTAGTGGTAACTGAGCTGCAAATAACCTCTGCCCTACAACGGGTTGTTTAATCTCTGTTTCCTATTTTTGCCCACAGGTCTCACTTCTGCTTTCTTTTAATTCCCAATCTTTTTTCAGACCAAACTTACAGCAGTTTCGCTATAATAAGACATGCAGAATCAAGGCTGCAGTAAAGAATATGTGACTATCCAGTTTTGCTTTTCCTCCTTAGAGTGGAATAATGAGTAATGTAAATGACAAGGCTGTGGATTTAATTTGTATTTTTTCATCACCAAAATAACTTCAGATACTTTGCCTGCCATTTTTCTGTCGCAGTGTGAAGTAACCCTCTAGCAATTCCAGAAACACTAGGAAAAAGGCCTTATTTTCCTGTTTTGCCACCATATTAACATGAGGTGAAGCTCTAAAAATTAGTGTACTGATGCAAAAGCACTACAGCAACTCCCAAGGTCTGCAGAAGCTACTTGGGAATGAGTGGGGCATTCTTGAAGTGACTTGTCCTAAATGGAAAGCCAGCTATAGGTCGATACATCCTGCACATTTACCTTCCTAGTCACTGAAGCCTGTAGCAGGGGAATCAGGATTTTTGCCTCCCTGCAAAGCCCACTTAAAGTTTAATCTCCTTGTTATCATGCTTCTTGTATAATACATTTTTTTTCTAGACACTGGTATTTATGCTGCTTCCATGGGGGGACAACTCCTAAGATCACCTTAAGCCCTGTGGTTGGAATGTTGAAATAGTGAAGATAAGTGATACAAGAGGAATACAAAACCCTTGTAGGGACCAGGCCTATTCTATTAAATCAAGCTGAAGTTGCTGTGCAGGAAGTCAGAATATAGAGGTGAATATGACATTGGATTGCTTTTATAATATTGGAAGGTGTAAAGTGGCCGTGGTGAGAGATGAGAATTAGGCCATCCTGTACTGAGGTTTCACAAGCATGTTAAGAAATGTCCTATTTGACTTGTGCCTTTGCTGCTTTTTTTCCCCTCTTCATAGTTAATGTGCAGTATCTTTTAAGGAAACCCTGTGTTTGTCAGTGTGTGTTTTAACTCGCTGTCATGCTTTAACCCCAGCTGGCAACTAGTTTAACAAATCTTTTCAGTCTTTTCTTTTAATTATTTCTTCTAAATGACTAATCAACAGGAAAGAGAATCTTTATGGAAGAAAATAGTGCATTTCAAAGCTGTGTGTTTGTGTAGGTCTGTACTTGTCCAGTTTATTTCAAAGCTTATGTCCCACAGAGGTTCCTAGTGGGCATGACTGTAAGTAGCTGTAGCATTCTGTAAGCAGGAGGCAGAGGAACTGAAATCACCTCTTCCCTGAGCATTGCCCTGAAGTGGGAATGCTGGATGGAACAAGGAAAGCCAGCAGTTTCAAGGCTGGATCAGTAAGTCTTGACCTTCTGCTACTCTGGAGGAAAACTGCCTCCGTGTAGGTGAACTTAAATAGATCTGCTGAAACTTCCTTTGGTTTCCACTGAACTCTGTCTTACATTTATCTCTTCTGTTTCCCAAATAGCTTTCTTCCTTCCCTTTTCTCTGGAGTAGTTTTCTCTTGGTTATAGCTGTAGTTGAATGGCACAGTTGATGAGGTCCTGCTCTTGTTTGGTGCATGCTTAGCAGCACCAAGCCAAGAAAGAAGTTTTGGAGGCACCCATGTGACATGGACAGTTTTCATTAATAACTTACATTTAAATTCCCATGTTGTGCCAATGCAGAGTACACAGCTGGCAGCAAGTTTCCTTAAGTATCTGATTTGGCTTTAAATATGATACTTAATTATTCTTCCTCCTGTTTCGGGGTAATTTGCTACAACTTGGTGATAACATGGGATTTTCAAAGTATTTAAAGTTCTCCTGCTCTGAATTCTTGAGGTGATTACACTGAGCTCCTCGAATTTGAGAGTTCTAGAAGCATTGGGGTAGGCCTGAGATAAATGTACTTAAATGCCTACAGGGTCGGGGGCTGCTTACTGTGTTCTTGTAAATAGCTTAACTCTGTGTTGGTGACGTGCAAAAAGTAAATAGAAACATGGAAGGAACGTGAGCTTGTGCAGAGCAATAACGTGCAGGCAGAGCAGAGGGACGCCGAGTCACGGTGTTGGCTTGCTCAGATTTCGAGCTGGGTCCTGGTGCCCTCGGCTGCCCCTGTGCTGCTCACCCTGAAATACTTCTCTAAACTGCAGCTTCTTGCCTGAACTGTTTCAGCCATGGCCCCAGAAGAAGCAGGTTTGGTTTCCTCTGGCTGGAGTTCCTGCAGCCTGTTCTGTGTCACACTGTATGTGGTGTTTGACCAGTGGAACTCAAATGTCCTATGCCAGCTCATTAGCCATTAGAAGTGGAGGGGGATGTATGTGATGGTCCCTTTGGCAGCCTTACAAAGGCTTAAGAATAATATCATATTATATCATAAGATAGCCATGCCATATCATAGAATGGTTTGGGTTGGAAGGGACCTTAAAGCTCCTCCAGTTCCAAGCCCTGCCATGGGCAGGGACACCTTCCGCTAGAGCAGGTTGCTCCAAGCCAAACATTGTCTTTCATGGGAATAAGCCTCTGGTACTTTAGACCTCTTCCACCTATTCTCCAAACAGGGGATGACACCTATCTGAATGTTTTGAGGTTCTCCAATGACTCTTGTGTTCTCCAGGGAAGGTTTATTGTACAGTGGTTGTGACTTGTCTCTCTCTGACAGGCTGAAGCTCCTTGGTGAGCCCTGTAGAGCCGCTTGCTTAGTGAGAAGCCCAAAAAGAGGACAGTGCATCTTTGTGGAGACAGGCAGACTTGGGGCTAATTTTGTTGTGAATTTCCCTGCTGAGCACATAAGTATCTTTGGTGTGTGTGTGATTTTTGGTTTGGCTGCTTAGCAAGAGATGACAGAATGCCACCAAAAGGTCTTGCGTCTGGGTGGGTGCTTCTGTATTTAGCTTTCAAACACAGCATGAACAGAAGTCATGAATATCAACTGCTCTCCTTACATCAAAATACCTGCAATGTGCTGTATTCATGTGCGTAAGCACTAAATATGCATCACATTTGCTTTTTTAGGTAAAATAGGCTCTCTCCTAATAGTAAAATCTTTCTCTCCAAATTAAATGCTGTTGGGACTTAGCTCAGAGACTAAATAAGCCGCGCTCTGTTAATGTTAGGAGACAGAACGAGTGCACTGTGAGCTTTCAGCACAAACTTCTGTTTAATTTTAGATTGGGGTTTAGATAAACAGTTTTATTCTTGCCTCATTAATGCTTAATCTTGTGTTACATAATATACAATATTGGTTTCCTGAGTACCTCTTATATGTAGTGCAAATG